ATAATTAAAAGACATGACATTAGAAGATCCACCATGTTATTCAATAAAAAAAAATAACAAAGACAATGTTAATTACCAACACATATCTTATTACAAATAATTAAAAATGCTATTTTTAATATAACCTTATAGTTACGACAATCCAAAATTGTCTCCCAACATTCTTTGAAGTTCTTGTCATTCTTACAAGTGTTATTTCACCACAATTGCAAATCAAGATTATCTCAATTCCCCTTAAACCACCACCATGTGAGACATCACAAATTTGGTGTCCCAACTATTGCAACAAGGCAAACAAAAAGACAACCAGACATGTCTCAACAACCAACAATCAGTGAAAGATCCACACAAAAAAATCCATGCACTTCAAAAACCCTTTTAATGGCTTTTCTTCAACCAAACCTCATTAATCAAATTAATTTCACGTAACCACGTATAAAAAAAATAACACCTTCAGATGATACTCACTCAGGTATACAATTTGTCGTTAACAGTTTAGACAATGTAAAAATAATGAATCAAATTGAACATAAATTATAAAAATTGAGATAATATTAAACACTAAAAAAAATAAGTCTTCAACAAAATCGATAAAAATAGATAAAAAATATATTTAAGTTTTATAAAATATTTTACTTTCATAGTAAAAGTGAGAGTGAAATTTGAACTTGGTACTGAAGAAACTTTTAATTACAAGTTTCATACAAAAAGAAGCTGATATGAGAATAAATAAGTAATTTATTGGAATCAAAGCTTGAAAGTAGTTTAAGTAAATTTCAGTGAAAAAGATTTAATGTAAAGTAAAGAGTAAAAATAAAATGCACCTTATTTGAGAATTTAAATAGAACAAGGAGAAATGTAAAAAAAGGAAAAAAAAAACAATTATAAAAGAGATATGGATAACATAATTTTGATTCATAAAACCTCGAATGTTCAAGAAAGAGGTTTATGAGAGGGTGCTCCCCGAACACCGGAGAAGTTTTCTTTCAGAGTGAGCAACTCAGCACATGCAATGGAGTTTCCTTCTTCCTCCATCTTCTCCCCTCGCCCCTCAGACGACACCGTTTTCTACGCCATATACCCTGACTCCCCCACCGCTACAGCCACCGCCACCGCCACCGCCACCGCGACGCTCCACTCCCTCCATCTCCAAATCCTCCAAACAATATCCCCCTTCACCCAAGACTACATCTGGCAGCACCAACCCTTCACTCTCTCCGTTTCGACTCCCCCCAATCCCTCTTGCCCCTGCTCCTCCTCATCCAACCTCCCCCACCTCCACGGCCACCTCCGCTACGGTGACAACCTCGACGACGAGTGGTTTGCCGTCTTCCTCCTTTTCCAAATCTCCATCCGCTTCCCCTCCCTTTCCCTCCGCCTCTGGGACTCCGACGGCGACTTCCTCCTCATTGAGGCCGCCTTCCACCTCCCTCGTTGGCTTAACCCCGACAGCTCTCATCACCGCCTCTTTCTCCGACTTGGAAACCTGCACATCGTTCCCCGCGACCGCCTTCCCCACCCCTCCCTCGTCGACTCCCTCGCCTTCGTTGCCAATTCCGGCCACGAATCCCTCGCCTCCGACGCAATCCAGCGAGCCGTGAAGAAACGCATCGAGGACTATCCCGAGCGCGCCAGGAGGAACATGCATAAGGTTAGGGTTAGGGTTCCGGTATCCGTGGCTCGGGTTCTGAAGCACGAGCCGCGATTGATTTCACTTGCGGTGGAGGGGTTCTACGACAGGGATGTAGACACGATGAAATTCGCAGCGAGTATGGAGAGGTTCGTGGAGAGAGGGGCAACAGAGGAGTTAGTCTGCGTTTCGGTGACGATGTCGAGGGCGATGTACGCGCAGTTGGTGCAGCAGCGGTTTCAGGCTCCGAAGTGTTACCCGACGATGCCGTGTCGGGTTGAGAGGGAGGGGTTTGTGGAGGCGGAGCTGGGGATGAAGATAGCGTGTGGATTGGAGATGATGTATCAGCAGCGGAAGCGTGATGGGGTGGAAGGGCAAGGGAGCACTTGGGAGGCGTTTAGAAAGAGCTTGGAGAACAGTGGCTACTTCCAAGGGCTACTTCCGGGTTCCTCTGAGTATCAGAGATTGGTGCAGAGTGCTCAAGAGTATTATAGGAATACTTCTCTCCATTCCCAGGCCAGGTTGGAATTGGAACTAGGCTATTGATTTTCATCTGAATTAAGTCTTGTTTTTGTCTTGGATGGGTGGTTGGCCGTTTGGTTATGTTTATTTTGGCTTAGCTCCCTGTTTTTTCTTGTTTTTCCTTATTTTGTCATTAATGAGATCATGCATTGATTATAGATATGATCAAAGTAGAACTTATAAAGGCTTGGAATCCTTATCTCGTGTGATAGCTTTTAGGGTTTTGTTTGACCAAGCCCAAATTCAAGAGGGCACCAGTCTATTATATTAGGGTCCCCAAATTGTCCTAATAAAAAAACTACGAATTCCTGCTGCCTGTCGTTAAATCTCCATGCTGGATGTCTAATCTTGGACGTGAAGGGGTTTATCGAGATCTCACGTTGATTGAAATGTATAAGTGCTCTTTGTTGACAATGATTATTTGAGGCATTGGGGAATTGATCTACTTTGGTTCTGATGTAGTAATGTTGTTTGAGTTAAACCTCCAGGTTATATGTTGGTTTTTGTTTTTATCATTGCTAAGGTGAAAATTTTTTGCAGTGAGTTGATGAATGCTCCTGTTAGACGTATAGATGAAATTCTTGCTCTGCCCCACTCAGTGGACGATTTTAGGGATCAAGAGGTTCCTCCATCTGATGATGATTCCTGGCTTTATGGCGGAGAGGAAGAATTGAACTCTGTTCTTATGGAAAGACAAAAGGAGATGGAGCTATATGACTTAAAACACAAAAAGAAAGGGAAAGCAAAAGAGGATCAAGATACTAGTCCATCATCTGCTTTGAATGCTGACGAGTTTGATCCTGGAGATATAGCAAAGACCATGCAGTCATTTGTCCATAAGTTGTCAAGTTACAAGGGTGCTGAAGCTCCTGAGGACAGGTTAGTTCAGTGACACACATACTCATTTAGCATACCTGATATGCAGTCTTAAGTCACACTTATCGAGTATGCATCTTTAATGCTTTACTGAGAAAGGATTAGGGCTGTTAAAATAATTTCATTCTCATGATGTTCGCTGACAAATTCTGTATCATAGATCGCCCGGGATACAGGTTTAAGTCTAACGCCCTGCCTATTAATTAAAATTGGTATTCCCATAAGTCAAATGTGGTCCTGATTCGACAAGCGTGTAAAATAGCTTTTGAAATCCAAATAATCTGCTGTGGGAATATTTTCCTAATCTTAAAATCCTAAAATAAAAACCCTTGCCTTTTGTTTATGTGAAGCTGACACCAGCTCAATTTTTAACTATTTTTTATGATAATTTCACAAAGTTCTAAGTAAAATATCCTTAATTATTAAGTATTGAATAACATAATAACATTTTCTATTTAGTATATGGTATAAATATTTTTTTCTTGCTACTGGTTAGTTTTTCTGGATGCTGTCATAATTTTACCTTTCAGACTTTTCTGTGTTACTTTATTATGTAATATCTCCATATCTGGGTTTTTTCTTGTAAAGGAATATGGAAGTGGACATTGATGTAGACCAATTTATTAAAGACATGGGATCAATAATGAAGTATTCAGACAATGAAGCTGCCAACGGCAATATTGAAGAAGGATCATCCTCTGACCCGGACTTTGGTGAGATCTCATGTCTAAGTTTACTGTTGTATTGCTCCTCTCTTTAGTTGTTATATATTAACTTTTTTATTTGCATTTATTTTTAGTAATGGATTCTTTTNCAAGGTCAAATCATGTGATATGAGCCAAATTGATAGATGTGAGCCACCTAAAGACATCAACCTAAACACAGATGCAACATAACTATGTTTAATACACTAACAACAAAGATGACTTCTATTAACAATTACATTTTTTTTACAAATTTTTCACTGAATTGTCCATGTCATAAATCTTCCTCTTTTGTTTGACAATGATAGTATCCCTTTTATCAACATTTTCTTCAAAGAATCACTTGAAATAATTAAAAGACATGACATTAGAAGATCCACCATGTTATTCAATAAAAAAAATAACAAAGACAATGTTAATTACCAACACATATCTTATTACAAATAATTAAAAATGCTATTTTTAATATAACCTTATAGTTACGACAATCCAAAATTGTTTCCCAACATTCTTTGAAGTTCTTGTCATTCTTACAACTATTATTTCACCACAATTGCAAATCAAGATTATCTCAATTCCCCTTAAACCACCACCATGTGAGACATCACAAATTTGGTGCCCCAACTATTGCAACAAGGCAAAAAAGAGACAACCACACATGCCTCAACAACCAACAATCAGTGAAAGATCCACACAAAAAAATCCATGCACTTCAAAAACCCTTTTAATGGTTTTTCTTCAACCAAACCTCATTAATCAAATTAATTTCACGTAACCACATATAAAAAAAAAATAACACCTTGTTCAGATGGTGCTCACTCAGGTATACAATTTGTCGTTAACAATTTAGACAATGTAAAAAAAATGGATCAAATTGAACATAAATTATAAAAATTGAGATAATATTAAACACTAAAAAAGATAAGTCTTAAACAAAGTCGATAAAAATAGATAAAAAATATATTTAAGTTTTATAAAATATTTTACTTTCATAGTAAAAGTGAGAATGAAATTTGAACTTGGTACTGAAGAAACTTTTAATTACAAGTTTCATACAAAAAGAAGCTGATATGAGAAGAAATAAGTAATTTATTGGAATCAAAGCTTGAAAGCAGTTTAAGTAAATTTCAGTGAAAAAGATTTAATGTAAAGTAAAGAGTAAAAATAAAATGCAGCTTATTTGAGAATTTAAACAGAACAAGAAGAAATGTAAAAAAAAGAAAAAAAAAACACAATTATAAAAGAGATATGGATAACATAATTTTGATTCATAAAACCTCGAATGTTCAAGAAAGAGGTTTATGAGAGGGTGCTCCCCGAACACCGGAGAAGTTTTCTTTCAGAGTGAGCAACTCAGCACATGCAATGGAGTTTCCTTCTTCCTCCATCTTCTCCCCTCGCCCCTCAGACGACACCGTTTTCTACGCCATATACCCTGACTGCCCCACCGCTACAGCCACCGCCACCGCCACCGCCACCGCCACCGCGACGCTCCACTCCCTCCATCTCCAAATCCTCCAAACAATATCCCCCTTCACCCAAGACTACATCTGGCAGCACCAACCCTTCACTCTCTCCGTTTCGACTCCCCCCAATCCCTCTTGCCCCTGCTCCTCCTCATCCAACCTCCCCCACCTCCACGGCCACCTCCGCTACGGTGACAACCTCGACGACGAGTGGTTTGCCGTCTTCCTCCTTTTCCAAATCTCCATCCGCTTCCCCTCCCTTTCCCTCCGCCTCTGGGACTCCGACGGCGACTTCCTCCTCATTGAGGCCGCCTTCCACCTCCCTCGTTGGCTTAACCCCGACAGCTCTCATCACCGCCTCTTTCTCCGACTTGGAAACCTGCACATCGTTCCCCGCGACCGCCTTCCCCACCCCTCCCTCGTCGACTCCCTCGCCTTCGTTGCCAATTCCGGCCACGAATCCCTCGCCTCCGACGCAATCCAGCGAGCCGTGAAGAAACGCATCGAGGACTATCCCGAGCGCGCCAGGAGGAACATGCATAAGGTTAGGGTTAGGGTTCCGGTATCCGTGGCTCGGGTTCTGAAGCACGAGCCGCGATTGATTTCACTTGCGGTGGAGGGGTTCTACGACAGGGATGTAGACACGATGAAATTCGCAGCGAGTATGGAGAGGTTCGTGGAGAGAGGGGCAACAGAGGAGTTAGTCTGCGTTTCGGTGACGATGTCGAGGGCGATGTACGCGCAGTTTGTGCAGCAGCGGTTTCAGGCTCCGAAGTGTTACCCGACGATGCCGTGTCGGGTTGAGAGGGAGGGGTTTGTGGAGGCGGAGCTGGGGATGAAGATAGCGTGTGGATTGGAGATGATGTATCAGCAGCGGAAGCGTGATGGGGTGGAAGGGCAAGGGAGCACTTGGGAGGCGTTTAGAAAGAGCTTGGAGAACAGTGGCTACTTCCAAGGGCTACTTCCGGGTTCCTCTGAGTATCAGAGATTGGTGCAGAGTGCTCAAGAGTATTATAGGAATACTTCTCTCCATTCCCAGGCCAGGTTGGAATTGGAACTAGGCTATTGATTTTCATCTGAATTAAGTCTTGTTTTTGTCTTGGATGGGTGGTTGGCCGTTTGGTTATGTTTATTTTGGCTTAGCTCCCTGTTTTTTCTTGTTTTTCCTTATTTTGTCATTAATGAGATCATGCATTGATTATAGATATGATCAAAGTAGAACTTATAAAGGCTTGGAATCCTTATCTCGTGTGATAGCTTTTAGGGTTTTGTTTGACCAAGCCCAAATTCAAGAGGGCACCAGTCTATTATATTAGGGTCCCCAAATTGTCCTAATAAAAAAACTACGAATTCCTGCTGCCTGTCGTTAAATCTCCATGCTGGATGTCTAATCTTGGACGTGAAGGGGTTTATCGAGATCTCACGTTGATTGAAATGTATAAGTGCTCTTTGTTGACAATGATTATTTGAGGCATTGGGGAATTGATCTACTTTGGTTCTGATGTAGTAATGTTGTTTGAGTTAAACCTCCAGGTTATATGTTGGTTTTTGTTTTTATCATTGCTAAGGTGAAAATTTTTTGCAGTGAGTTGATGAATGCTCCTGTTAGACGTATAGATGAAATTCTTGCTCTGCCCCACTCAGTGGACGATTTTAGGGATCAAGAGGTTCCTCCATCTGATGATGATTCCTGGCTTTATGGCGGAGAGGAAGAATTGAACTCTGTTCTTATGGAAAGACAAAAGGAGATGGAGCTATATGACTTAAAACACAAAAAGAAAGGGAAAGCAAAAGAGGATCAAGATACTAGTCCATCATCTGCTTTGAATGCTGACGAGTTTGATCCTGGAGATATAGCAAAGACCATGCAGTCATTTGTCCATAAGTTGTCAAGTTACAAGGGTGCTGAAGCTCCTGAGGACAGGTTAGTTCAGTGACACACATACTCATTTAGCATACCTGATATGCAGTCTTAAGTCACACTTATCGAGTATGCATCTTTAATGCTTTACTGAGAAAGGATTAGGGCTGTTAAAATAATTTCATTCTCATGATGTTCGCTGACAAATTCTGTATCATAGATCGCCCGGGATACAGGTTTAAGTCTAACGCCCTGCCTATTAATTAAAATTGGTATTCCCATAAGTCAAATGTGGTCCTGATTCGACAAGCGTGTAAAATAGCTTTTGAAATCCAAATAATCTTCTGTGGGAATATTTTCCTAATCTTAAAATCCTAAAATAAAAACCCTTGCCTTTTGTTTATGTGAAGCTGACACCAGCTCAATTTTTAACTATTTTTTATGATAATTTCACAAAGTTCTAAGTAAAATATCCTTAATTATTAAGTATTGAATAACATAATAACATTTTCTATTTAGTATATGGTATAAATATTTTTTTCTTGCTACTGGTTAGTTTTTCTGGATGCTGTCATAATTTTACCTTTCAGACTTTTCTGTGTTACTTTATTATGTAATATCTCCATATCTGGGTTTTTTCTTGTAAAGGAATATGGAAGTGGACATTGATGTAGACCAATTTATTAAAGACATGGGATCAATAATGAAGTATTCAGACAATGAAGCTGCCAACGGCAATATTGAAGAAGGATCATCCTCTGACCCGGACTTTGGTGAGATCTCATGTCTAAGTTTACTGTTGTATTGCTCCTCTCTTTAGTTGTTATATATTAACTTTTTTATTTGCATTTATTTTTAGTAATGGATTCTTTTGTAAGAGAGTTCTTTTACACCATTACATTAATACATTTTTTTTGTGATATCATGCATGTAATTCATTACAATTCACATCTTGTAGGTTTGAACTTTTTGGTTATCTGTTTTGCAAAGTCTCCAAATTTCTTTCTCTGTTATGAGTGTAGCATGTATAGTTCTAGTAGAATGAAGGTAGCAGTTCCTATAATTTATTTTCAAATTTCAAATTTCCTCTCAATGATTTGGATTAAGTGCTAGCAAATTCTTTATTGTGGTTTCTATGGTGGTACATGTTAGGATTTTCTATTTTTTTTCTTGACAAATGGTAGTAAAATGTTAATCTCTTCAATACACCATTATCCAACTGAAAAAAGTCCAAGCCTATAATACCTTGGTTTTGTACTTGGGAATTGGGATAAACAGATAATGAAAGTGTATTATGTTTAATGCTTTTCCTCTGTCTTTAATAAGAAATATAAAGAAATAGTTCCTATTAAATATGCATATTTATTTACTTTAAAATATTAATCCTTGAAAAATCTAGAAGTCCATGTAGAGGATTTTGCTTAATCTAGTTTCACTGAAAAGTGCATGATAACAATAATAATGTTTAATTAGTTATTGCTTACCAGAACACTTAAGTTTGCCAGTCTGTCTTCAAATTTTGTGCTATCGGATGGGATGATAAAATCATATAAATTAAAAAGTGATAGAAAATAGGTAAAAAATAAAGTAAATATTGGAGGTGTATGGTTGAAGATAAATATAACAGAAATAAGGGGAGATGTAGAGAATTGAGTGAAAGTGGGTGACAAATAGAGTAGAAAGATACCGGTGGAATGCACTAATCTTTTAATTCTCTCTTTCATCTATTCTACCAAACACACCCATTTAGTTCGATCACCCTATTTCTTCCCCTTCAACAAAGTACAACATTAATTGTTTGATAGGAATACTGGTACCTGGGTTTTAGCATGTATAATGAATTAATTTCTGGAATTCAACCAAATAGGAGATCACTAGGCCAGTCAATCTGTGTCTTCTCCCTTGGTATCATTTGTGGGTTCTTATATTTTTATTGATTATACAGATGATTCTGAGAGTGATGTGGGAGAGCTGGGGGAGGACGATGATGATACTTTCTTGCGGAGCTATTCTGACGCTATGAATGAAGAACTAAAGGCAACCACCCTTCAGAAAAGTTTTGTTCGTGCTAATGAACAGATTCCAGAGAATCAGGTATTTGTTTGCTTTTGCATGAGGAAAGAATATGCTAAATGTTATTCTGTAACGATCTGTATTTGTCCTATGTTTTTAAAATCAATGAACCAGTCATTTAACTAATTAAGGCATTGATTCAAGGCAATATTAAGTAACGGATGTAGCACTGCTATAATGCTTTAAAGTGGTATTTTTTGACCCACAACCATGGACCTTTCATGAAGGGAGGTCTGCTACGGCGGCAGCATAGGTTGCAAGGCTGTGTTTATATAGTGGAATTTTGGTCTTCCATCATATTGCCCCATTGATATTGTTAAAGGTTCAATGCCTGGTTGAATCAGTATTAATATAATAATAATTGAATAATATTATGATTTTATAACACTCAAATCTAAAACGAAAATCATAAGTTTTTAACATTCAGCAATACACAACAAAAGTATAAATAAAACATATCATAGTACTTACTATAAGCTTCAGCAATACACAATCATTGACTATATAAAGTTAATATCTAGAATAAAGAAGAAAATGTCAAATACTTATATTTATTTTTAAGAAAAAAATTATTAAACATTTTCATTGATTCTAAGCCATTTTTTCTTTTTGTACTGTGTTTTCCAATTTTTTATTGGTTTCAATGACGATTTTTTGTGTGGAGCGATTTTATGATTTATTTGAGTCAAATAGTTGATCGGTATACCAGTTTTCTAGTTTGACCCGCCGGTCTGATTTTCAAAACACCGGGGATACCAAACCTCTCATGGTCATTTGAAACGAAAGAAGTAAAGTTTATATACAGCAGTGTCATACAGAGGTCTAATCATGTTTTATTTTGGCATTTGGTTAGGCTAGTCAAGTATGGATTCCCTTTATCCTCATGTTGCTTGATTATTTACGATAATCTATTGCAAATTATGCATTTTCATATGAAATATGAAATATGAAATAATGAACTTGTGGGTTTAATAGAGATTGTGTACTGTCATTGTAAATTTTTTTCATTATTAAACCATCTTTTGCATGACTTTTAAAGTAGTTATTGTTATTATTGTTATAGAAATCAACAAACATGCCATATATGACTGTTTGTGATAGAATGGCTTTGTAAAATAAGGCTTTACATGTTAATGATAAAAAATGCAATTATAGCATATGCAAAGTTAATAATGCTAATTTATAATTTTAATAAAGGATGAAAAATAATATTCAGATAAAAAATATTATAATCTTGAAAATGGATGATTACGAACTACAGCATCCTATATCATAAATATCAAAAATCTAGAAATAAAGCTCAAAGTTTTATACTTACATACACACATACTTACATATGTGTACACCCATATATAAGATTCACTCTAGCTGTAAAATTCAAAATCTAATTAGTAATCGATTTTAAAAATTTATGATAATAATCAAGTATAGCGTAGAGTAAATATTATATTTTTTATATCTCTTATCATAATATGATAATTATTATTATTTTTTACAGTGTAACAATAAAAATAAATATTTGAAACAAATATTGGCTGTTATTACATAACATGTTTAAAAATAAATATCTAATTTCCATCAAATAACAATATTATTTTATGGTTTTATAACAACTGTTAAGTTATTATAATATTTATCATTACTTCTGTCTTTCATTTGACATTGATCTCATCTTCTAATTTTAATATCAAGTTTCCTAGGTAGTAAAAATGTAATCTTTAAAATATTTATTTCATATATAACTAATCTTTGAATGATATATTTAATATCCATAAGTTAAATTATAAATAATTTATTTTCTATAAAATATAATGTTTTTTAACCACATAATGATTTAAATAATATCAATCTTGATAATTACAGATAAATAAACTTCAAAAAATATTGCATACCTGTTCGTAGCACTGCTACAAAACCAAGCTTAGAAACGAGATAGTAGTGACCAAAATGGACACTTGCATAATAATTTAGTTTATATTTTCTTCTGCAATTTTGCAATTTTTGATTTGTGCAGTTGCAAGACTGATGTTTTGTTCTGCTCTTGCATTTGAATTCACTTTCAGGGAACATCTAATGCATCAGAACATAATATGGACGATGATTTTTCTCCTGTAGATGTGGATGTAAATTTAGTAAAAAGCATTCTTGATTCCCTTTCTTCCCAACAAGGCCTTCCTGGTCCTGCTTCTAATTTGCTCGGCCTCATGGGGGTGCAGTTACCACAAGATACAAAGAAGGGCAATTGAAGATACTGAAATATTTATCTGGGTTTAAGTTTTGGGATTCTTCAATGATATTCATCTGGATGGCATGTTTCCCAACCTGCTTACTATCCTTTATTTTTTTCACGTTGGGTATGAACCTGCTTAGCAGAGGGCAATGGGAATGCTTGCTAGTAATGGTGTAACTTCACCAGGTTTTGGCACTTGACAAGGGAGGGCTTGCCTCCAGAGAAAAGCAAGATAACGTTCATCTGTAGCTTGTTTATTGGATGTAACAGGTAACAGGTGGCTAAGTCTACCAAATTGGGAATTGGCTTACAATGTTACATGGCAAATTTATTTTTTATACTTTTGGTTTTTGTCATCCACTATTGACAGTTGTTGATTCCTTTGTTCCTTCTTTTAGGGTTTAGTGAGTATCATCCAATACTGTTCTAGTCATATATGAATTTGTACTTTGCTAGCCGTAAAATTATCAGTACCAAATTATAATTTCCTACTCCTGTGCTTAAAATACGAAATACTACATTCTGTTACACTTCTCATCAACTTATGATTTATGAACCAACAAAAAGTTAAAATTGAATATTCCGTTGTAGTAAAAAGGCATCTGTCAATAAACTGCAGCCTAATTTAACAGATAAAAGAATTTCATAAAGATGAAAAAACTAAAGTAATACATGAAAAAACTTTGTACATACGGTCCTGCTCCTACCGGTATTTCCGATTCATTCCAGGGGTCATACAGGAGAAGATTGATTGTTTCTTTGGTTTGGAGCCAAAGATAAAAGACCTCAGAGGAACCTTGGCCCGGGACTCTGATTGTCTTAGCTGGCCATTTTGATGTCTTTTTGAAACCGAGAATCCATGTTCATCATTCAAGTTCACCAGAGCCTTTTCTACGTCAAGTTGGAGAGCTGATACAACATCTAAACCCGCTTGAAGTTCATCAGCAACCTTGTTGTTTTCCTGTTTCATGTTCAAAATCTCACCTTGGAACTTGGCAGCTTGGTAGCTTGTGAACCTGAAGTCATCATCTTCAGCACTGGATTTCAATGCTGCTGTTATATCCTCTTGGATGTCACACAAAGATGAGAATCGATTATGCAGTTCTTCCTTCAACACGGCACCTTTTTCCATCCAGACAGTTATTTCACCCTGGATCTCTGTTAGGTGTTTGTAAATTGGTTTTGCATCTGATCTTATAGAATACTTTATACTACTACTACCCTCTGACGTCCTTCCTCTTTCCTGTAGTTTTGATAGCTCGGTCTGCAAATCTTTGATAGTGGTTTGAAACTTCTGTATGTCAGAGTAATAAGCACTGAAATTTAACCAGAAAGTTAAGTTCTTCTCTAGAATTTCATCCATGTTTGACCGGAATTTGTCTTCAATAGGTGAAGTAGATTGAGGTTCAACTTTTAGAACTTCCTCAATGCCGTTCTTTTCTGATGGCATCACTACAGTTACCTCTGCAAGATCTTCATTTCCTTCAAAGCTTCTCTGCAAGAGAACTAGTTTGTGACGCAGAGTTCTTATCTCTTCATCTTTCGTGGCATTGGCCGTCTTCAGTTCTTTTAGCACAGATGAATCTAAGTTGCTATCTTGATTTTTCTTCTCTATTTCAGCCAGCCTCTTCTTGACATCTTTATAGTTTCGAAGAGTAGTAGTATATTCAGCCAGCAGAACTTGTTCTCTATCATGCATTCCATTTGTAAACAATTTCCGCCAATCAGGTTCATCTTGTGCTGTTGCCTGTTCCTTGGAATCAACTTTGAGAGAATTCTCTATCTCACATGAACTTTGTTTAGCATCATTTTCTTGCTGTTTCTCTGAACTCTCTGAAGAACTATCTAGCTTGTTGCTTGCTAGTTGCTGTTCGACTTCCTGATTTTCTGTGGTAGTGCTCACATCAGCTGTTGCCTTTTCGTCACCTTTGCCAGGATTTACATTCTTCTCTTGTTCTTTTAATTCTTCGGGAATTTTGTTTTCCACAGGGGTAGTTTCTTCCATTTCTAAGGAACTGGTGACCTCAACCTCATTTACTGACTTGACATCACTTTTCAATGAACCTGTGACATTAGCAAATGGTGAGCCAGTGACCTCAGGCTTGTCTGATGCTAGATCATCTTCGACAGTACCAGCAACCTTAAGTCCCTTATCTGTTGCACCATCCTCTACCAAATCAGCTGTAGATTCGCATTTTAATTCCTCTTGGGGTGATGAATCCTGTTTTTTATCTGATAAATGTGTGGTCTTAGCCTCCTCACCTGGCTGCACGTTTTGGACTTTCTCTGAGAGATGATCAAGATTAGAATGTGCATCAGCTAATTGGGTTTGGAGATTGATATTCTGATCCTCAACAATTTGGTTTAGATCCTCTACTCCATGCATCTTTTTTTCCATCTTCCTCAGTTGGTCATTCAATTTATGTTTGTCGTTGATAAGATTTTCCTTATCCTTTTCCAGAATTCGAATCTGCTCCTGAAGTTCATCAGTTTCTGTTCTCAATCTCTTCACCATAGCGCTTTGCGATGATACTGAAGTTTCCAAACTGATCACTTTGTTCACTAGCTCATCAATCTTTTCTGCCATCTCTGCTACACTGAATGATGAATTGGAGCTAGTTTCAAAGTTCTCTTTAAGGTTCTTCTTTAATAATTGCAGCTCCTGCTTCTTCCGAGTCAAATCATCGGCATTTTCATCTAACTCTGTTTCTGCTATTATTTTTAAATCACTTTGGATCCCTGGCTCTTGAGAATTCTTCCGTTCATAATGGAATTCGTCCATGAGAGAGCCCACCTTGGCCTTGACATCCTTTACCCTTTTGGACTCGATTTTACTTTCATTAAGTGATTTTTCCTGTTTCTTTTCTAACTGCGTCAATGCCTCTTGGCATGATTGAAGAGCAGCTCCTGCTATCAAACGCCGAGCTTCATCATCTTCAATGTCAACACCTTCTCCAAGTTCTTCATGCAGAGAGGAAACTCTCTCTTGCAATTCCTTTATTTGCTCCTCAGTGTCCCAGTACCTACTAAGGGAATTCTCATAAGAGTTCTTTACAAATTCTTTCACAGTTTGTAGGGCCAGAATCTCTTTCTGCAGCTTGTCAATCTCTTCAAGGGCATCTTTTCTGCTCAAACCAGATTTAGGAACTTTTGGAGTAGCAGCAGCTGCAGTGGCAGCTGCTTTCTTGGATTGCAATTTCTTTGTGGCTGTTGCTGCTGTTATGACCGTTTTCAAATCTTTATGGGGAGGCTTTGGTATATTTTTCAACCCTTCTGGTTTTTTTTTTGGAAGCCTTTGTGATGGATCATCGTCATCTTCATCCATTAATGGGACGCGATCTGGAAAGACAGAAGCAATGGTGTTGTTGGCATTTTGTAACTCTGTTGATATGTGATCATATCGTTCGGCTAAAGCGCGGTAAGCCTTGAATGATTCCTCCACAAAGATTATCAGTTCCGGTCTCCTTTTGTAATACATTTCTGCTCTCTTGGCAAAAGAGTCACCCTCTTCCGCTAAGAGCTTCATAACACTTTGCACTTTTTCCTCCATATCTGCAGTGTAATTTATATATTTTAGATACCCAACTAAATTCATTTATAAAGGCAAAGACACATAAAAGTGGGCTGTGTTCATCTTACACAGTCATCTAGCCGTGGCTCAAGCAAATTTTTAATTCAGTATTCTAATTAATAATATGGAAACAGGTATGTATCGTTATATCCACATGTTAAGCATCTCCTTTAATTCTAAGTTTTTAGGAAATTACTTCAATAACTTGAAGGAATGCAAACCATAATATCTCAAAAAAACATCTGTTCGATGAGAGAAAATGAAGCTAATCAACATCTGAAAGGCATTTAATCAAGAACAGGGGGGAAGATGGAGTTATTCTATGCCGCAATTTCTCTCTCACATTGGCCAAAGATAGCATTACAATTTGAGAAAATTCTATTGAAAAAGTGATAAACGAGGTGCATCTGTACCCTCTGATTAGTAAAGGTTCAGATTTGAAAATCAGAGCAGGTTGAGAAGCATTTTCAGAATCCATATAAAGCAATCAAACTTTGAGCATGATTAAGCGTCTCTCCACTCATGCAGATGAATTACCCGAGTACGGATAAATGTATTTTAGATAACACTATATATTTTAATACAAGGCATGGATAATTTAAAGATTTAATTCCATGGTGAATTGAAATTGACCAGCGCACACACATTTATATAATAATCTAACGTTGAAAAGCAAGGCAGAGAAGCTATCCGTTTACATCACATNTGTTTGAGTTAAACCTCCAGGTTATATGTTGGTTTTTGTTTTTATCATTGCTAAGGTGAAAATTTTTTGCAGTGAGTTGATGAATGCTCCTGTTAGACGTATAGATGAAATTCTTGCTCTGCCCCACTCAGTGGACGATTTTAGGGATCAAGAGGTTCCTCCATCTGATGATGATTCCTGGCTTTATGGCGGAGAGGAAGAATTGAACTCTGTTCTTATGGAAAGACAAAAGGAGATGGAGCTATATGACTTAAAACACAAAAAGAAAGGGAAAGCAAAAGAGGATCAAGATACTAGTCCATCATCTGCTTTGAATGCTGACGAGTTTGATCCTGGAGATATAGCAAAGACCATGCAGTCATTTGTCCATAAGTTGTCAAGTTACAAGGGTGCTGAAGCTCCTGAGGACAGGTTAGTTCAGTGACACACATACTCATTTAGCATACCTGATATGCAGTCTTAAGTCACACTTATCGAGTATGCATCTTTAATGCTTTACTGAGAAAGGATTAGGGCTGTTAAAATAATTTCATTCTCATGATGTTCGCTGACAAATTCTGTATCATAGATCGCCCGGGATACAGGTTTAAGTCTAACGCCCTGCCTATTAATTAAAATTGGTATTCCCATAAGTCAAATGTGGTCCTGATTCGACAAGCGTGTAAAATAGCTTTTGAAATCCAAATAATCTGCTGTGGGAATATTTTCCTAATCTTAAAATCCTAAAATAAAAACCCTTGCCTTTTGTTTATGTGAAGCTGACACCAGCTCAATTTTTAACTATTTTTTATGATAATTTCACAAAGTTCTAAGTAAAATATCCTTAATTATTAAGTATTGAATAACATAATAACATTTTCTATTTAGTATATGGTATAAATATTTTTTTCTTGCTACTGGTTAGTTTTTCTGGATGCTGTCATAATTTTACCTTTCAGACTTTTCTGTGTTACTTTATTATGTAATATCTCCATATCTGGGTTTTTTCTTGTAAAGGAATATGGAAGTGGACATTGATGTAGACCAATTTATTAAAGACATGGGATCAATAATGAAGTATTCAGACAATGAAGCTGCCAACGGCAATATTGAAGAAGGATCATCCTCTGACCCGGACTTTGGTGAGATCTCATGTCTAAGTTTACTGTTGTATTGCTCCTCTCTTTAGTTGTTATATATTAACTTTTTTATTTGCATTTATTTTTAGTAATGGATTCTTTTGTAAGAGAGTTCTTTTACACCATTACATTAATACATTTTTTTTGTGATATCATGCATGTAATTCATTACAATTCACATCTTGTAGGTTTGAACTTTTTGGTTATCTGTTTTGCAAAGTCTCCAAATTTCTTTCTCTGTTATGAGTGTAGCATGTATAGTTCTAGTAGAATGAAGGTAGCAGTTCCTATAATTTATTTTCAAATTTCAAATTTCCTCTCAATGATTTGGATTAAGTGCTAGCAAATTCTTTATTGTGGTTTCTATGGTGGTACATGTTAGGATTTTCTATTTTTTTTCTTGACAAATGGTAGTAAAATGTTAATCTCTTCAATACACCATTATCCAACTGAAAAAAGTCCAAGCCTATAATACCTTGGTTTTGTACTTGGGAATTGGGATAAACAGATAATGAAAGTGTATTATGTTTAATGCTTTTCCTCTGTCTTTAATAAGAAATATAAAGAAATAGTTCCTATTAAATATGCATATTTATTTACTTTAAAATATTAATCCTTGAAAAATCTAGAAGTCCATGTAGAGGATTTTGCTTAATCTAGTTTCACTGAAAAGTGCATGATAACAATAATAATGTTTAATTAGTTATTGCTTACCAGAACACTTAAGTTTGCCAGTCTGTCTTCAAATTTTGTGCTATCGGATGGGATGATAAAATCATATAAATTAAAAAGTGATAGAAAATAGGTAAAAAATAAAGTAAATATTGGAGGTGTATGGTTGAAGATAAATATAACAGAAATAAGGGGAGATGTAGAGAATTGAGTGAAAGTGGGTGACAAATAGAGTAGAAAGATACCGGTGGAATGCACTAATCTTTTAATTCTCTCTTTCATCTATTCTACCAAACACACCCATTTAGTTCGATCACCCTATTTCTTCCCCTTCAACAAAGTACAACATTAATTGTTTGATAGGAATACTGGTACCTGGGTTTTAGCATGTATAATGAATTAATTTCTGGAATTCAACCAAATAGGAGATCACTAGGCCAGTCAATCTGTGTCTTCTCTCTTGGTATCATTTGTAATTTCTGGAATTCAACCAAATAGGAGATCACTAGGCCAGTCAATCTGTGTCTTCTCCCTTGGTATCATTTGTGGGTTCTTATATTTTTATTGATTATACAGATGATTCTGAGAGTGATGTGGGAGAGCTGGGGGAGGACGATGATGATACTTTCTTGCGGAGCTATTCTGACGCTATGAATGAAGAACTAAAGGCAACCACCCTTCAGAAAAGTTTTGTTCGTGCTAATGAACAGATTCCAGAGAATCAGGTATTTGTTTGCTTTTGCATGAGGAAAGAATATGCTAAATGTTATTCTGTAACGATCTGTATTTGTCCTATGTTTTTAAAATCAATGAACCAGTCATTTAACTAATTAAGGCATTGATTCAAGGCAATATTAAGTAACGGATGTAGCACTGCTATAATGCTTTAAAGTGGTATTTTTTGACCCACAACCATGGACCTTTCATGAAGGGAGGTCTGCTACGGCGGCAGCATAGGTTGCAAGGCTGTGTTTATATAGTGGAATTTTGGTCTTCCATCATATTGCCCCATTGATATTGTTAAAGGTTCAATGCCTGGTTGAATCAGTATTAATATAATAATAATTGAATAATATTATGATTTTATAACACTCAAATCTAAAACGAAAATCATAAGTTTTTAACATTCAGCAATACACAACAAAAGTATAAATAAAACATATCATAGTACTTACTATAAGCTTCAGCAATACACAATCATTGACTATATAAAGTTAATATCTAGAATAAAGAAGAAAATGTCAAATACTTATATTTATTTTTAAGAAAAAAATTATTAAACATTTTCATTGATTCTAAGCCATTTTTTCTTTTTGTACTGTGTTTTCCAATTTTTTATTGGTTTCAATGACGATTTTTTGTGTGGAGCGATTTTATGATTTATTTGAGTCAAACAGTTGATCGGTATACCAGTTTTCTAGTTTGACCCGCCGGTCTGATTTTCAAAACACCGGGGATACCAAACCTCTCATGGTCATTTGAAACGAAAGAAGTAAAGTATATATACAGCAGTGTCATACAGAGGTCTAATCATGTTTTATTTTGGCATTTGGTTAGGCTAGTCAAGTATGGATTCCCTTTATCCTCATGTTGCTTGATTATTTACGATAATCTATTGCAAATTATGCATTTTCATATGAAATATGAAATATGAAATAATGAACTTGTGGGTTTAATAGAGATTGTGTACTGTCATTGTAAATTTTTTTTCATTATTAAACCATCTTTTGCATGACTTTTAAAGTAGTTATTGTTATTATTGTTATAGAAATCAACAAACATGCCATATATGACTGTTTGTGATAGAATGGCTTTGTAAAATAAGGCTTTACATGTTAATGATAAAAAATGCAATTATAGCATATGCAAAGTTAATAATGCTAATTTATAATTTTAATAAAGGATGAAAAATAATATTCAGATAAAAAATATTATAATCTTGAAAATGGATGATTACGAACTACAGCATCCTATATCATAAATATCAAAAATCTAGAAATAAAGCTCAAAGTTTTATACTTACATACACACATACTTACATATGTGTACACCCATATATAAGATTCACTCTAGCTGTAAAATTCAAAATCTAATTAGTAATCGATTTTAAAAATTTATGATAATAATCAAGTATAGCGTAGAGTAAATATTATATTTTTTATATCTCTTATCATAATATGATAATTATTATTATTTTTTACAGTGTAACAATAAAAATAAATATTTGAAACAAATATTGGCTGTTATTACATAACATGTTTAAAAATAAATATCTAATTTCCATCAAATAACAATATTATTTTATGGTTTTATAACAACTGTTAAGTTATTATAATATTTATCATTACTTCTGTCTTTCATTTGACATTGATCTCATCTTCTAATTTTAATATCAAGTTTCCTAGGTAGTAAAAATGTAATCTTTAAAATATTTATTTCATATATAACTAATCTTTGAATGATATATTTAATATCCATAAGTTAAATTATAAATAATTTATTTTCTATAAAATATAATGTTTTTTAACCACATAATGATTTAAATAATATCAATCTTGATAATTACAGATAAATAAACTTCAAAAAATATTGCATACCTGTTCGTAGCACTGCTACAAAACCAAGCTTAGAAACGAGATAGTAGTGACCAAAATGGACACTTGCATAATAATTTAGTTTATATTTTCTTCTGCAATTTTGCAATTTTTGATTTGTGCAGTTGCAAGACTGATGTTTTGTTCTGCTCTTGCATTTGAATTCACTTTCAGGGAACATCTAATGCATCAGAACATAATATGGACGATGATTTTTCTCCTGTAGATGTGGATGTAAATTTAGTAAAAAGCATTCTTGATTCCCTTTCTTCCCAACAAGGCCTTCCTGGTCCTGCTTCTAATTTGCTCGGCCTCATGGGGGTGCAGTTACCACAAGATACAAAGAAGGGCAATTGAAGATACTGAAATATTTATCTGGGTTTAAGTTTTGGGATTCTTCAATGATATTCATCTGGATGGCATGTTTCCCAACCTGCTTACTATCCTTTATTTTTTTCACGTTGGGTACGAACCTGCTTAGCAGAGGGCAATGGGAATGCTTGCTAGTAATGGTGTAACTTCACCAGGTTTTGGCACTTGACAAGGGAGGGCTTGCCTCCAGAGAAAAGCAAGACAACGTTCATCTGTAGCTTGTTTATTGGATGTAACAGGTAACAGGTGGCTAAGTCTACCAAATTGGGAATTGGCTTACAATGTTACATGGCAAATTTATTTTTTATACTTTTGGTTTTTGTCATCCACTATTGACAGTTGTTGATTCCTTTGTTCCTTCTTTTAGGGTTTAGTGAGTATCATCCAATACTGTTCTAGTCATATATGAATTTGTACTTTGCTAGCCGTAAAATTATCAGTACCAAATTATAATTTCCTACTCCTGTGCTTAAAATACGAAATACTACATTCTGTTACACTTCTCATCAACTTATGATTTATGAACCAACAAAAAGTTAAAATTGAATATTCCGTTGTAGTAAAAAGGCATCTGTCAATAAACTGCAGCCTAATTTAACAGATAAAAGAATTTCATAAAGATGAAAAAACTAAAGTAATACATGAAAAAACTTTGTACATACGGTCCTGCTCCTACCGGTATTTCCGATTCATTCCAGGGGTCATACAGGAGAAGATTGATTGTTTCTTTGGTTTGGAGCCAAAGATAAAAGACCTCAGAGGAACCTTGGCCCGGGACTCTGATTGTCTTAGCTGGCCATTTTGATGTCTTTTTGAAACCGAGAATCCATGTTCATCATTCAAGTTCACCAGAGCCTTTTCTACGTCAAGTTGGAGAGCTGATACAACATCTAAACCCGCTTGAAGTTCATCAGCAACCTTGTTGTTTTCCTGTTTCATGTTCAAAATCTCACCTTGGAACTTGGCAGCTTGGTAGCTTGTGAACCTGAAGTCATCATCTTCAGCACTGGATTTCAATGCTGCTGTTATATCCTCTTGGATGTCACACAAAGATGAGAATCGATTATGCAGTTCTTCCTTCAACACGGCACCTTTTTCCATCCAGACAGTTATTTCACCCTGGATCTCTGTTAGGTGTTTGTAAATTGGTTTTGCATCTGATCTTATAGAATACTTTATACTACTACTACCCTCTGACGTCCTTCCTCTTTCCTGTAGTTTTGATAGCTCGGTCTGCAAATCTTTGATAGTGGTTTGAAACTTCTGTATGTCAGAGTAATAAGCACTGAAATTTAACCAGAAAGTTAAGTTCTTCTCTAGAATTTCATCCATGTTTGACCGGAATTTGTCTTCAATAGGTGAAGTAGATTGAGGTTCAACTTTTAGAACTTCCTCAATGCCGTTCTTTTCTGATGGCATCACTACAGTTACCTCTGCAAGATCTTCATTTCCTTCAAAGCTTCTCTGCAAGAGAACTAGTTTGTGACGCAGAGTTCTTATCTCTTCATCTTTCGTGGCATTGGCCGTCTTCAGTTCTTTTAGCACAGATGAATCAAAGTTGCTATCTTGATTTTTCTTCTCTATTTCAGCCAGCCTCTTCTTGACATCTTTATAGTTTCGAAGAGTAGTAGTATATTCAGCCAGCAGAACTTGTTCTCTATCATGCATTCCATTTGTAAACAATTTCCGCCAATCAGGTTCATCTTGTGCTGTTGCCTGTTCCTTGGAATCAACTTTGAGAGAATTCTCTATCTCACATGAACTTTGTTTAGCATCATTTTCTTGCTGTTTCTCTGAACTCTCTGAAGAACTATCTAGCTTGTTGCTTGCTAGTTGCTGTTCGACTTCCTGATTTTCTGTGGTAGTGCTCACATCAGCTGTTGCCTTTTCGTCACCTTTGCCAGGATTTACATTCTTCTCTTGTTCTTTTAATTCTTCGGGAATTTTGTTTTCCACAGGGGTAGTTTCTTCCATTTCTAAGGAACTGGTGACCTCAACCTCATTTACTGACTTGACATCACTTTTCAATGAACCGGTGACATTAGCAAATGGTGAGCCAGTGACCTCAGGCTTGTCTGATGCTAGATCATCTTCGACAGTACCAGCAACCTTAAGTCCCTTATCTGTTGCACCATCCTCTACCAAATCAGCTGTAGATTCGCATTTTAATTCCTCTTGGGGTGATGAATCCTGTTGTTCATCTGATAAATGTGTGGTCTTAGCCTCCTCACCTGGCTGCACGTTTTGGACTTTCTCTGAGAGATGATCAAGATTAGAATGTGCATCAGCGAATTGGGTTTGGAGATTGATATTCTGATCCTCAACAATTTGGTTTAGATCCTCTACTCCATGCATCTTTTTTTCCATCTTCCTCAGTTGGTCATTCAATTTATGTTTGTCGTTGATAAGATTTTCCTTATCCTTTTCCAGAATTCGAATCTGCTCCTGAAGTTCATCAGTTTCTGTTCTCAATCTCTTCACCATAGCGCTTTGCGATGATACTGAAGTTTCCAAACTGATCACTTTGTTCACTAGCTCATCAATCTTTTCTGCCATCTCTGCTACACTGAATGATGAATTGGAGCTAGTTTCAAAGTTCTCTTTAAGGTTCTTCTTTAATAATTGCAGCTCCTGCTTCTTCCGAGTCAAATCATCGGCATTTTCATCTAACTCTGTTTCTGCTATTATTTTTAAATCACTTTGGATCCCTGGCTCTTGAGAATTCTTCCGTTCATAATGGAATTCGTCCATGAGAGAGCCCACCTTGGCCTTGACATCCTTTACCCTTTTGGACTCGATTTTACTTTCATCAAGTGATTTTTCCTGTTTCTTTTCTAACTGCGTCAATGCCTCTTGGCATGATTGAAGAGCAGCTCCTGCTATCAAACGCCGAGCTTCATCATCTTCAATGTCAACACCTTCTCCAAGTTCTTCATGCAGAGAGGAAACTCTCTCTTGCAATTCCTTTATTTGCTCCTCAGTGTCCCAGTACCTACTAAGGGAATTCTCATAAGAGTTCTTTACAAATTCTTTCACAGTTTGTAGGGCCAGAATCTCTTTCTGCAGCTTGTCAATCTCTTCAAGGGCATCTTTTCTGCTCAAACCAGATTTAGGAACTTTTGGAGTAGCAGCAGCTGCAGTGGCAGCTGCTTTCTTGGATTGCAATTTCTTTGTGGCTGTTGCTGCTGTTATGACCGTTTTCAAATCTTTATGGGGAGGCTTTGGTATATTTTTCAACCCTTCTGGTTTTTTTTTTGGAAGCCTTTGTGATGGATCATCGTCATCTTCATCCATTAATGGGACGCGATCTGGAAAGACAGAAGCAATGGTGTTGTTGGCATTTTGTAACTCTGTTGATATGTGATCATATCGTTCGGCTAAAGCGCGGTAAGCCTTGAATGATTCCTCCACAAAGATTATCAGTTCCGGTCTCCTTTTGTAATACATTTCTGCTCTCTTGGCAAAAGAGTCACCCTCTTCCGCTAAGAGCTTCATAACACTTTGCACTTTTTCCTCCATATCTGCAGTGTAATTTATATATTTTAGATACCCAACTAAATTCATTTATAAAGGCAAAGACACATAAAAGTGGGCTGTGTTCATCTTACACAGTCATCTAGCCGTGGCTCAAGCAAATTTTTAATTCAGTATTCTAATTAATAATATGGAAACAGGTATGTATCGTTATATCCACATGTTAAGCATCTCCTTTAATTCTAAGTTTTTAGGAAATTACTTCAATAACTTGAAGGAATGCAAACCATAATATCTCAAAAAAACATCTGTTCGATGAGAGAAAATGAAGCTAATCAACATCTGAAAGGCATTTAATCAAGAACAGGGGGGAAGATGGAGTTATTCTATGCCGCAATTTCTCTCTCACATTGGCCAAAGATAGCATTACAATTTGAGAAAATTCTATTGAAAAAGTGATAAACGAGGTGCATCTGTACCCTCTGATTAGTAAAGGTTCAGATTTGAAAATCAGAGCAGGTTGAGAAGCATTTTCAGAATCCATATAAAGCAATCAAACTTTGAGCATGATTAAGCGTCTCTCCACTCATGCAGATGAATTACCCGAGTACGGATAAATGTATTTTAGATAACACTATATATTTTAATACAAGGCATGGATAATTTAAAGATTTAATTCCATGGTGAATTGAAATTGACCAGCGCACACACATTTATATAATAATCTAACGTTGAAAAGCAAGGCAGAGAAGCTATCCGTTTACATCACATACAAAAATTCAATCAGAAGAAGGAGACAAATCGTGAAGCTGGTGATGCTTTTACTATGAGAAAGGAAAATGAAGATAAAGTGATGACCTTGAAGGTTTTGCTCCATCCATTTTGATTGTTTTGTTCTGATGTGGCTAACCCACCACCATGAATAAGCATTGCTTGCGGCTCTCTGCAACATATTGGTTGCTTCCTTTCTTCTTTTGTGCTCCTGATTGGTGTGTATTGAGATTTTAATAAGGTGAGAGTGAAAATCATGCAAACCGTGTTTCTCCTATTTCTCTATCCGTTTGAGATGGAGAAGAGAAGACATGGATTCCATGACAAGAAAGTGGAAAAAAAAAAATTAAGAGAAAAAGAAAGAGAGAAAGATAACGAAGAGAGAAAACGTGGGAACTAAGATGTTGTGCTAATTATGGGATGATGGAGGGGAGCAAAGTTCGCAAGAATTTATTGTGCAAACCTTACTTTTCAAAAAGCATTGCAATAAAATATGACATAATGCATGCATTCAAAGCCCCCACGTGCCTTTTCCATTCTCCACCTTTGCTTGCTTTTTACACCTTTCATCTCTTTCTCTTTTAAATTAGCTTCTGCGCTGTCAAACTCTTCAAACAACAATCCAACCTCAAATTTTCAACCAGATTATCGTTACCAATATTACTATTTTAATATTTACATGGATTTATAAAGCTATATACTTCATTAGATTAGATTAACTAGTTAGTTATCTTTAAACCTGATATTTTCTTACTTCTCCCATCATACTGCTATGATGTTGACTTTCAGGCTAAAATTAACTCCTCATAATGAAAATCTCATTTTTATAATAAGTGAATATAAATCTAATTTTATATTTATATTATTTTTTAACACAGTATCTAATTTATGATTCAAAATCTATTTTAATTAAATTTATTATTTTATTGAATTATTGACTAATATTTTAGTTTTATATTTAAAATATATATGTCGCGACACTAAAATTTACGTAGACATGAGAAATAAAAAGAAATGTATGAATTATTGTGAAAAACACAAATGTGTGTGACTGTTTTGTAAATATGATGCTAGTAAAAAGTTGCTTAGGAAATGTGTAATGAAGGTGGCGGTGGCCGACTTTTGTCGTAGAAGAATGACACCTTGTTGACAAAGTTTAACAAAGCTTCTGAGAGAGAAATTAAAATATAAAATTCCGTCTTTCTCTTATTTTTGGAGCCACGTTCTGTTAACTACTTTGGCCTGCAATGATGCTATAAATATCAAATGTTTAACAATTCTAAGAAATCAGAACTTGTGGGAGATCTTCAAAATTCTAAGAAATCCCGATATAAAGTTATATTTTGAAAGACAGAAAGTTTGAGGGGAAAAAAGATTGATTCGCTTCGTTATCATCAATAAAATGACATCTCAACAAATCTTATAACAAAAGTAATCATGCACGGCAAATATTAATATTCATTTATTAAGAAGTTAACTAGCATATGATATTTTTATTTTATTTTTAAAATAGTTTTATGTTGAAAAAAAATTAAAATAACTCTGTCGACACTAGTAATATTTTTTTTTTAGATATTTTCTTTTAGTCTTTTTTTATAAATTTTTTAGTATCATACAAATAGTAGTGTAGTTGATACCATTGTTAATATTTGTTTTTAAAGGTTGAGAATTATAAAGTATAAACAATAACATAGAATTGGCAATGAACCCATGAAACTTTTGTCTCCAGGATCATAACTTTACTTTTTTAAGAGAGAAAACACTTTTCTATAAGACTTTTATTTTTACATATCTTTGGTATAGTTTTCGAAAAATATAATTTTTTATTATCAACCAATGAAAAAATAGATGGAATTGTATTTTTGTTGGTTAAATTTTTATTTTTACATTTTAGTTTAATATTAGAATTTTGTAATTTTTTTTTCATTCTAAGTTTTGTGTAAAGCACAAAAGTATTAATCCAAAGTTGTTCTACATTCTCTTTTTGTTTTTTTTTTCTTTCTAAAAGCATGCACTACAAAAAATTATATTTTTACCGGGGGTTATATTTTTGGTTTCCGGCGGTTTTAACCCCCGGAAAATACGTTACCCGCGGTTAGGAAAACCGTTGGGAAAACCTGCGTCGCTAAGTAATTACCGGCAGTTTTTTAAAAAACCGCCGCAATTAGCGGGGGTTTTGAAAAACCGCCGGTATTAGCGGGGGTTTTACTAAAACCGCCGGAAATAACCGGGGTTAAACAAAACCGCCGGAAATAACCGGGGTTAAACAAAACCGCCGGAAATAACCTGGGTTAAACAAAACCGCCGGAAATAACCGGGGTTAAACAAAACCGCCGGTAATTTTCTTCTAATGATACTAGGTGAATCTAGAAGTGCACTTAAACATTAGATATAAACATTAGAAACCAATCTTCTAATGATAATTAAACCAACCAAAGCAAAGACACACTTAAATAAATAAACAAAATTTTCTTCATAGGAAACAATCATAGATCCAACTTACTCCAATTTCAAACTACATTATTTTCAAAATAGTTATAGACATTTGAAGCAGGAAGAAGAAACGGCTTCGGCAAATTAAATTACTAATCATCCAATCATAATGTAGAACTATAATTAGTCAATAAGAGAATAAAATTTAAGCTCGCCTTATATATAAAAAGGTATGCTTTTCTTTTCAAGACTTACTGTTTGTCTATTTTTTAAATGAGACATAATATTTGAAGAATGTAGATTATAAGAACTTATTTATCGTAAGCAACGTTAATATCAATAATATGCATCGTTAATATTTAGTACAGACAAAAAGGATTATACATTTACAACATAAATAATAATATATTTTGCATAATAGAGATACACTAGTAAATAAAAGTCCATTAGAATTTGGTATTCTTCCTTGCCTCCTCCTTAGTGCTTCTAGCTCCGATTGTAAGCCAGGTAATACAACAGTCTCCCCAAGCAACTTCTCACACTGTAGGGTATATATGATATACATGTCATGGTTAATGACAAGGAACGTGACCCATAAGTGGTAAATAGGAAGAAAAATTCACCTGTAATGTCATTTTAACCAGCTCGTCAGCAAGACAATTGCGGATAGATTCCAATGATGCCTGGAATTTGTATTATTAAAATATATCATCATTGTATCCCAAATAAAAAAGGGTCATCCAGATCACTGTCTTATGATCCAACAACTTAATATAAATTATTTTAGTGATAAAATATAAATTCTATTACTTGAACATCATGATAAATTCTCAATGATAAGAGAATGTCGAGCTCTGAATAAGAATGTATGGTGCAAAACGTTTACAGGGAATGAAGGCAAGAAAAATCATACCAGACGTGACATGTATGAAGTAAGTTCACCCTCCTTCTGACGAAGTTCAGCTTCAAAAGAACTGAGTGTCATGCTTTTCACATAGTAAGGACTCATACTTAGTTCTCCTGGGTTTCTTCTATCAGAAATACTATCAGATGAGTACAACGATGCTTGCAGAAAGTGGCTCTCTTCCAAGCTTCCAAGGGAGCTTGCACTAGAGATTTTTCGAGACAAGTTCCCTACATCATAAATAATAATAAACATATATCACAAACAACTCAGCCTTAGTGATGGAAAGAGAAGCAGAGCATAGAAGAATTAAGTTTAGAAAAAGAACCTTAAATGGTAAAGCCAAATTTCACCTCCCAAACTCAGCGCAGTATAGTGACATGTCCTGATCAATGATAAACCCCAAAAGAACGAACAATTGAAAGAACACAGGCCTAGTAAAAACACACATGCTTGATCTTCATGTCCTAAAAGTTTATCATTTTTCCAGAACAGTTAGTTTCCTAACTAGAGGACATGAAGTGTCTTAAACCAAGACAAAAGTTACACCATATCAAGCAATAATAAAACTACATAAAAAATTGCACGAACAAACAATGAGTTAAAGGTCGTTAGCAAGAAGATAAAGGGTGAAAGAGAGAACGAAGAAAAAAAACCTCATGATCACAATCAACAAGCTGCTGCTCACTAAGACTCACAAGTTCCCCTGTTTCCAGAAAGTGAGCCCCTTCCAGAGCCCTAGTAGCGCTGAAGCTCTAACATGAACCACATGAACCCTAATTCACCAACCAATCAAAATCAATTATTCTAAAACAAACATTCACAAATCATATCATCATGATTAGTACTATTGGCACCTGATTCTTGACAGCGGTAACTGCACCGTTATCTCTCCAATCAAAATCACTCGAAAGATTATCGGTGGGGAGAATGGGAGCTTTTTCCGCATCGTAGGGCAACCTCACACCTCACAGGCCAAAAAACTTATTTCGGAACTCTGTCGGCGTAAGGTCGGAGAACTGAGTCACGCCGTGAACCGCGGAAGGATCCAAGCTCTGGTGGCGCCGAGCACGACACAAGTTAGCCTTGAACACAGTGAACCTGTAATCGTGCTCTTCCCTGAATCAATGAATGGAATGAAATGAAAATAAAGTGACCTACGCAGATGTGAGGAATTCCGAGAGCGAACACGACCTACGCAGCCATAACGCCTCGACGACGAACACAACACAGGGGAAGACCAACAAAAAGATGGTGCGGGGCTTGGAAGAAAATGATTATGCTGAACTTTTTGGAGAAAAATGTACGAAGGCAAAAATGAATTGAGAGAGAATTAGGGTTAAGGAAAAATTAAGAGCAAAAATGTGTCGCGAAGTATTTTAGGAGAAGGGGAATCATGAGGTAGATATTTTTGGAAAATTATTTAAAAAATAAAAAAAATAATTTAGGGGCGGTTTCGCTTATAACCGCCGGAACTTTTCTGGGGTTTTCAAAACCGCCGGAAAATAACCCCTTCTAAAATTCAATATTTTTGTAGTGATGCAACTTCCTTTTATATAGTAATTTTCGTTTTCTCTTTTAAGTTCTTACTTCAATTTTCATATTATCTTCGTCTATCCTTTTTAGTTTCTCATTTCATTTTTTTATTTCAAAATATGGTACAACAGGTAACGAATTTAAAGTTATTTTCAGTTTTTTTTTGTTAAAGTAAGTACTTTTTATTTTGAGAAATTCTTATTTTTTTCTTTATGAGTTGTAAACGATGGTCGTCTCAACTAATTTTATTCTTTATTTTCCAATATTTTACTTTTTTTTCATATTTAAATATATGTCTCTATGAAGTAATATTGTATCATATTATATATATATATATATATATATATATAT